AAATTATAATAGGGTAGATTATAAAAGTCAGGCTTCTTTGGCATATTAGGCTATAATATTGCCTGACAAATTTTGATGTAGAATCATATACACACATCCAATTGGTATCAATTGTGATTCTGTATAGTAATAAATAATCATATATTAATTGATTTTAATCAAAGTAGATTAAATTTTGTATTGTAATTTTTAACTCAACTTAAAACTTTATACTTTAATACTTTACTATGAAACGGCGACCATACAAATTAGGTATTTAAAGGCAAGTATGAAGTAAGATAATTGTAGGATAAGTGGCGCGATCTTGTAATCTTGTTAGTGACTAAGGCCGACACTTTCCTTAGACACAGCTGTTAATTAATAGCCCATACAGCTAATGGCAACAAAGGGGCCTAAAGTTTATGTTTTTTTTTTTTTTTTGTAGTCATACGCTCCAACTGAAACGCACCACAGTAACACGAAACAAATATCCACATCGTTTCCCACCAACCACATCACTAAAAGAAAACAGGAAGACACGAGCGAACCAGTAAACCTCATGAAGTAGGGAAATGCCCACAGTAAACTTTCCCAAATGCATTCAAATCAATTGGATTCGCCTCTATTGACCCTGAGGGACCCTTGGCAATTTCCCGGATAAGCACATTTTCAGGGTTTATGGAGTCCGAAACGAGCTCCTGTTTAGAACTTTCCCGGGCATAAAGTGCGTTCGACGAAGTGTCGCCCTATCTAATCTTTTCGGCATCTATCCCCCGCTATTGCCGCCCTAGTCATAACAACTTTATTGGGCTCATTTTGTGGATGTGCTTTCCTTTAGGAGGGATGAGCCACAAGAAACACATTTAAGGGTGTATTATAAATCAACCCTCGCACTGATAAATCGTAGTATATCTAGAATAGAAATCTTCGAGACTGATTTCGCGTGTCGAGTTTATTGGTCAGTGGACGGTTATTGTTGTGGAAGTAATGAATCCGATTTACAAATTTTAACATTGCCAAAACCATCTATGTAGGTTGAGGATCGTATCCAACTGTACTTAAGTTTACATTCTACACTCATTCGAATGAATATATCGATTGATATCTCGATTATTTAATTCGATATATCATGTTCGGTTAATTAGGTCAACCTTACCTAGCTAACCGAATGAAATAATCGATATATCGAAAAAATGTATGTATCGATATTTTTCATTCGAATGAGTGTAGGACGTAAACCAAAGTGCAGCCTCGTATCCTCCTTCAATTCAATTCAATTCAATTCAATTCATTTATTTCCACGGTAACACAATTTTTACAAGAGGTACAGTAAGTAGTAGCTATCAAACTCAAATTTAACAACAAATAAAGGCTATTCTGAATAAATTACAATAACAAGAACAAGAAAAACATAACAATGAAGATGGAAACCATGATAAACTTTTTAAAACAATAACAAAACAAGACTTAACAAAACAATAAATACACGGTTTGGAATCCTCTAAGCAAGACTTACATGACAAAAACAGATATAAATACTAAAGTGACAAAAATAAATAGCTGATCGAAGGTTGAACACAGTGCCGTTAACATGATGTAAGCATTAACTACAAATTATTTACAGAGAAGAGGCGACACAGATTGGAGCGGAAAGCAGCCACGCTGGAACGGTGAAAATCCAACACTGCGCCGACCTCGTTGCCGACCCGCAAAAGGCGAGGGATAGTGCTTCGCTGTAAATATACAGTATTGTAGTATTGTCCTTGTTTTCTAAAACATTAATACGAAGAAACGTTGTGAAAAAAATGAATCACATCCCTTGATATTATACCATTAAACATTTTGTTAATGATTTAAAAGGTCAGAAAATCAATATAACAATTAGGTATACAATGATGCAAACTTAGAAAAAATATCAACATCTTAATATATTTGAAAAAAATTGTACTTGGGTACATATTATGTCCTTGATTGTAATAGGCTATAGGCTGCAGTGCAATGAATTATTTTATTTTAAATGTTAGTAGGCCTATATTTATACTTTATATAAATATTCTTTTGGTACATATTACCAATAACTATTTATTAGTTGAGACTGAAAGAGGTTTTTAGATATGTAAATAATACGGTTCATATATCGATATTTTAATAATAAAGACAATGAAATCAATAATAAAATTGTCTAAAAATAAATTTTTAACATACCTAAAATACGACTAAATCAATATTTAAACTGTACCAATATCCTAAAGCCATGTTGTAAAAGTATTTCCCATAAAGGTTTAATAAATTGTTGCAGACCGAGTCGGAAACAAGATAGAAAAGTTGCGGACACTGAGAACACTTTCCAAGTTTGGGTCCAAATATCCAAAACACTAAATATTGAATGTACCACAGAACTTGGCCGGACCGTGTCACAAAAGTGTTGCGTTCTGTGTTATACTTTCCTTCTGTAAAAATACTTACTGTAAAATTGCTTTGTACAATGCGGGAATTGATTTTAAAACACTAACAAACTATTTGCTTACATGTTAAATAACAAGTTGTTGCCTTAACATAGTTTTATGACTGTTAATACTGTAATAATGTGTAGTGTATTCATTTAATGCAATGTTTGTACCATTAGGTTGAAATGTCAGAACAATAATTAAATATAATAAATCTTATTGTGCTAATTAAGATTTTCAATGTGTTTTGAAGTTCTAAAGCTAAGTTTTGAAGTTCTTGAATCTAAAGCTAGATAAGCTTATAATTCAGTTGAACTTACAGTTAACAGAGAATTTCCTATGCTTTCTTATGATTGAAATACAAACAATAAATTAAACATATTGCATAGTTAATACTAATCTCGGATTGATTTTAATCTTTTAAAATAAAATTTTATAGAACGTATTTATTTTTAAAATCATTTTATGTACTTTATGCAAATAAAAATACTTTTAGAGTAAAAAATAGTAATAAAATTTATTATCATTCGTAGATCATTTGAAAAAAAAATCGTCTTCATAAACAAAATCAAATTACCACTATCCACATCACATTTAACTATGTTAAATTTATCTTACATATACAAATAAATTAGACATTTTCCTTGATTGACTTATGAATCTTGAATGGAAGGTTTTCACTTTAGCTTAAAATACACAAAATGCATCCTTAAGTCAAAGGATCTTAACACAGTTCACAACACTTCGCACCTAGGAGAAGGAGCTCATTTGCTCAGCCTACCTAATGCTTACCAGGAAATGCTTTTAGTCCCATTCCTATTTGAAACTCGATATGGAGGCGAATCTCAGATATCAAATTTATCTAAGGAAACGAACATTTTCTTGTTGGATCCTTTTTACTTACTTTTGATTATTCATGACAAACTTCCGTGTAAGGAAGTCGGTAATATGTTTGATGCAGTCGGAAAAAGGAACAATGAATAATACAGGAGTACTATTAACGTATCTTAGATATTGTTTTATATAAGTTTAAATATAATACATATTAATGGGTGTAAAAATTAAGTTAAGTAACATAAAATTATTCGATTTAAATAAAATATTATTTTGTGTACAAAATATAATTTTGTTTCATACCAATATTCGATTTAATGTTTTGATATTCTTGGCAACATAAACCATCATAAGGGACAAGCAAATATTAAAAATCAATGTCAGAATATGGAAATAAGGAAAGACGCCCGTGGCAGTTTTCAAACACTCTGTTTACCTCCAAATATTATACCAATTTAGAAAAACCCCTGAAGGTAGAAGGACGAAATTTGAGTTTCATAAATATTGCAAATTGTATATGATTTATGTGAAAGTTTTCTTGGAAACGATTACTGAATTTATTATTGTTTACGTAATGTTTATGTTTAATGTCTTATTGTTGGAAAACATAAACAGCTATCAGCTATGTATTTTGTATACTTCCAAATGAATCAATAATCAATAATGCCAAACTCTGATCAATAATATAGTAGTTATATCTTCATTATGACCAAATTTCATGTTTTTACTACACATGTATAATAAACAAAACCAATGATTCTTAAAATGTGTGAGCATTCCTTAATAAATTTCTTTCTTAAATATGAAATGGGTAACATTAATTGTTAACATTTCTACAAGTTCTGTCAAAGGTAATGAACATGTTAACGAGATAACTAGCTAGAAATAAAGAATAAACACTTCCTAAATGAAAAGATAATTGCTGCAGGCAAAAGAAGTGGCATGTTCCCTGTTAATAAGAACAAGTCGCTGCCTTCCTTAGGGTTGTTTTGAGCTGTTTCTTTGTGTCGTCGTGTCGAGGGATGGAAACAGGTGGCTTTGTTTTTACTTTTAGCTGATTTAACGTTATAAGTACATAAAATCTTTTAGCATTAGTATTGTTTTTATTGTTAAACGTATTTTAATTACTTAAGGTAGCTACATTTTTTCAACATAAAATTGTAATTTTATTATTTTGAAACTTCATCCGTAAACATAATAGTTGAAATTAAATAAATATTTCGACGTAATACAATATAATGTTTTTTTATTGTTAATGGATTATTATTGTATTAAAAGCATGGTTGAGAAAAAAACAAATAAATACTTTTAAAAAAATGTTAAGACTTAAATAATAGTTTGCCGCTTTTTTTAGATATTCTATCGTACTTTATTACTCGTTTTATTAAAAAAATCTTATATTTATGGTTCGTTTATGTTCACTAAAATTTACACTATTAGATTTGTAAATTAACAATACACCACAAGTCCAACGAAATATCCTTACATCATTGTGAACTCATAAAAAAAACTCAACATTTTCATCGCATTCAAACAATAATAAGGGAGCTTCATGAATGTAAAAAAGAGCCTATTGAACTGCACTTTGTCTGTGGGATTTTCATTATTGAAACTGCCTCTGGCGCGTCAAAATTGGACGCCGGCTGGACCCGCCCCCACAAAACAGTCCGGTGCAATGGCGACCAGACTTGATGAACTTTGCAAAATGATTAAGTCAGCGATAAATCATCAAGCCATTACATGACACGCCACCTTGAGACTGTGTATATCCGCAGCCATCTTGGTTCAACTTGCTTGTTGGTCGTAAGGTATTAGTAAATGTTAAAAAAGCTAAGTTTAGATGAAAACGAAAAGTGACGGATGAAAACAGCTGTTCCATTTAGCTTTGAAATTCTAAGAAGGTTCGCTTATAGCGTTCAAAAAATTGCGGAAATAGATGCCAAATACACAAGGAGGATTATTACATGACGAATATGTGAATATGTAAACATTTTCCCCTGTTTGAAATTAACTTATTTATTTTTTAATTTAGGAACATTTCCCAAGTACGGAAAAGATTACCTCCACTGGGTAACTTACTTATTTTTATCACTATTATTTTTATATATAAATACAACCTTGTGTTTAAAAGTCCTTACACGTTCAATCATTCTATTCACTTATCCGCCAACCAACGTACGTAAATTGTACGTATACTGTGGAAGAATTGTACAGTATTTGAGACGGAAAAGCAAAGGTTGTTGGTTCCCTACAAATGAAAGAGAGAACATCCGAAAACTTAAAGTACACCCAATCTCTCAAACTCTTTACGCTCTAATACAACGACTTTCCTTCGAATACCGATTATACCTTTCTCTTCGAGGGCTTCTTCAGAATACTTTCCCCAGAAAGATTCCAATTTGCCCAGTAAACTCCAGTGAAAGCCTGCCTTCCTACAAAAATGAACCGGAAAAAATGATTTACTACTACTGTACCTCGAAGCCTCTTGTACCATGCCTTGTTATGATGTGTCAACTAAAAACCGTTACGGCCGCCGTAACTTACCAGAAGACTGATTCAAAAACTAAGTACCTACTTTGTATTGTCAAAATATGTAATGTAAGTACAATTTGGAAAGTTAACAAAAATTGCTTCAATAACAAATTAAGAATACCATGCAAATGCAGTAAATGATGCTCTAAAAATATAATAATAATGCAATTGTCCATTTACAGAACAGGTTCATTAAAAAAATAGGTATTAAAACACGTTTCTACGTAAAACTTAATATTATCTCTTAAATCATGGAGAAATATTTATATATTTTTTTTCCAAACTCCTGATAAAAAACTGTTTGGATAAAACATATAGTAACATCAAACATCCTTCTTTTAAATTTGTATATTTATTGAACTTGCACTTTAATTATTTACAATTTTCATTGAATGTAATGTACCTATTTTTATTGTAATAAGTGACCCGAATTGCCAACGTCCATCGAAGGGTTGTCGTTAAAAATCGTACCTTTCCGTCTTCGGTTTTATGAAAACTTTGTAATATCTAAAACTCTGTATTTGATGCAATTGTTTTTAACCCACGCAATATAATTTTTTTGAAAAAGTCCATATTTGGCGCTCATATCCGGACATTCAAGTCCTACGTAGTTAATATCAATAAAAGCTGTAAGAGAGAATAATTCGTCAAGTTGTAAGCAGGGAGAGCCGGAGGGACAAAACTTCCCCAAAGTTTCCCGGAGACGTAACCAATACACTAAACATTCAATGGTTTTCCAATCGCTTTTCGGCAACATGAGATGGTTAAGTTGAAGTCCTAAGTTCAACTTAACTCGTATACAAATGGCAAGTAAGTTTTTTGATGAACTAGAGAGATTAGTTTAATGCGTCTGGTGTGTTCAATACAAATTTATAATTGCTATTTACATTAATTGCTTAAAACTATATATTTGAGACATGAACTTGCAAGATTAATTGAACAACGATTAATTGAATGGAAACATCCTTCAATAAAATACAGTAGAAGGAAGAAAGAAGTGTGAAAAATTGTCTTTCTTTAGAGTTTTAAAAGTAACAATAACAGCTTATTAAACATTGTTTTTGTGTTGTTGTTGTGTCATTGTATCATTCATAGGGTTTTAAACCAAATTTCCCGTATGGGAGTAATAATTAGACCTATTCTGACTCTAATGCATGCGGTGATATTTTTCTGCAATCAAAAGTAGTAAATTTGTCTTCATTTTACCATATCAATTGGTTTATTTGTATTTGGAACTAGATTGACTATGGGCACTGTAGCAAAAAAACTAAACAAACTTTAGTCATGATTTATAAATTAATCTAAAATTATATTTATATTTAGAACATTTTCACCGTTCTAAGCACTTTTCGGTTTGGATTCCATAAATAGAAAGCTAAACACCTTTGGATATGATGTAACAAATGACGCAGTACATAGCATACAAAATAAAGTCTATTTATACACATTTGTATTCGTTATTTGTGAGCCATACTTAGAAGGTATCGAACAGAGTCGACATGAGGGTACAGAGACAAAAGTGTCCTTAATGATGCTGTTCAGAATAACACAGCCGATTACATCTCAACTTCTACGTTCGTCTAATGCAGAAATACAGTACTAATCGCTTACAAGAATCATGCTTGTTTAAATGTGACAAACTCTAAGCATGGTAACTATTTGTAGCAATGACTCATAATTTAATTGGTTTAGTTAGACATCTCCATTGAAATACTGTATCTAAATTTGTTATGCGTGTTTTACGTTTGTAACGTCTGAGTTTATTCGTTTCAAACGATTACATTCGCTTACTCGCTGTAACTATTATTGAAAATAATCTTCAAATCTACTCTTACGCATCGTCTCAAATATTTTGTCCAAAGTCCCATTAAGATTTCTGAACCCAATTACTATGTCATAAACCCAAGCAAAAATGAAATTTATGAATACATTCTTCATCAAAGTATACATTTTTTTTTTCAAAATGTCTTCCTAATGATATTTGTTAAAAAAACTGTTATTCAAGCCTGTAAACAAAAATGCCCTGTTCTATGTACATTACTTATAACAATATTTGTATGAGAACATATTTTTACAGCCATCATGATTTTAAGTGAAGCTTATAATTAAAGTGTTTGTTCATAAAATACTGTTTAATTAAATAAGACTTACCCTTTAGAGGATAATTGTTGCTGTAGAAAGAGGTGTCTTGTTCCTTGTTATGTCAAGACCAAGATCTTCTTGTTGAGAGATTTTATAAACTGTTCCTTTGTGTGTTGATGTTGAAAAGAAGGTAATTTTTTCCCTCATTATAAATTTTTAAGTCAGATTAATATTTACCACATGTTCTACCAGCGGTAACACTCGATGTATCAGTTGGCCTTGTGTCAGTTGCCAGTTCAACTGAAAAAAACAAAATAAAATAAATAAAAAAAGTGTATTGCTGAATAAAAAATAGCACCATGTATTTAAAAAATTGGTATACAAAATGAATGTTTGGGGGAGTGAGCTGGTCTGGTGGTAGAGCATCGGTATACTCGGTCCCTGAGGTCCCAGGTTCACTCCCACCAAATCACTAAAGGATTTCATTCAAGTGATAATGCAGCTACTCCCTGTAGCATTTCTGAAGTAATGTGAACAACGATGCCGGGCGTTGTTCCAGGCTCATGCTTAGCGTCCTAAATGGGTAATTTTATAAAAAAGTCAATCTTTCGGCACTTTCAAATATCTATGTAATATTTAAACCACATCAATTGCTTTAATTAACCTAAATAATTGCTATAAAATTAATTTTATATAATTCTCAAGGGCATATTCCGATTCAATTTTTATTTCAAATAAGTATTTTATATATAATACGATTGTTCGCGTATTTGGCCTGTACCAAAAATTGATTCTACACTATTAAGAATATGTTTTTAATTTTGTTACAAGGCATCTATTATTAACAATTATTATTAACAAAAAACAATGATTAACTACAACCAAGAGGCACTCGCCCGCTATCAAGACCGAAGCTGCGGTGGAAAGACCAAATCCAGAAGGATCTACAGAGAACCCACCATCTGTCAAGCGGCAGACAGGCAGCAGTTAAGGCAACTTGTTGGCGAGGCCAAAAACATTCTTAGGTCTGAGTGGCCAAGGAGGTAGGTAAGTAGTAGTATTAGCAATCTTTGTGTTACGTAAGGGAAGGTTAAGCGATAAAATCCTCAAATACAAGTATAAACGAAACTAGTCCACCTCCGAGTCATACAAATTACACGTCAAAACCTCTTGAACTAAAACCATGTCATTATCCTCTGATGAGCTGTCTGAGTCTACAAAATACTGTGGGCACAATGCAAGGCAATAAATCATACAATTCCAGCTACATTTCCAACTGAGCTACAAATCCCCCGTGTCGGATCATCATTAACACTGCAACTCATTAGGTGTGGTCATATCAGGGATTAGCTCATGTTTTGGTCGCTTTGACAAAATACCACCGAGCTCAATATCCATGAGCGGGAAACCACGGAAATTTGGTTCATCGTTGGACCAAATATATTTCGGTCATTTAGACCAATTTGATTTTTTTACGACTTTCCCAAATGGGTAATACACTATTACTGTAGGTCGACCTACACCCAGGACCGATTTTCTTATTTTATTTGAAGCCCCAGAAGCTTGAAACACCATGTGTTAAAGTTTATAAATACAGAGTGTCCCGAACTCTCTGGAACGTATTACCAAAACTCTTCCTTAGGTTGAGACAAACATATTTATAACTATAAACCAGGAGACAAGTTTTCCGTTTGTCGGCCATTAACACATGACACTAGAAAGGTAGGACAGAAAACAATTGGCTATTGATGTACAGTATCTTAAAGTTAGTTGCTGTATAGCAATGTTTTAGGCATGTATTGCAGTATTTTGGAAATCTATTTGCGAAAGTTGTCACTAATTTGTTTTTTACTATTCGATTTTAGGTAACACATAAGGTGTCGTTTGAACAACAAAAAGACAATCTGTATTAACACATAATTATTTGTAAAGGTAACTATACTACTATTTAATTATACATAGTTTTTTCCAACCTTATCTTTTGTACTACATAACTAGTTTTGGACTACCTAAATGAGATCACACGTGAATGAAATTTATGGTGGAATAAACGTAAAACCCATAAAGAGCCAGATAATGACGTCACCAACGTTCCTTTGAAGGGAAAATTGAAGTAATATGAGCTTAAAGGCACAGACGATTGTCTGCTTAGAGGGAAATACATT